ACATCATGGACGCTCCCTGAAGGCATCACTAAGACATTTCAACATCAGGGAACACTGAAGCTGCTTCCTTAATTTCATCATGTTCAAAAAATCATTCCTGAAACCAAATGTGAGGAAGCTTTCACTCAGAAACATTTTTTTATTTCATGCTCCGTCACTGAGGCTGTTATCACTGGAACGTTGAGCTCATGGGGTTTGGACTGGGGTGATACTTGAAGGCCACTGCCATCCTTTCTCCTCCTCTCCAGAGAAAAGATGAACTCGTGTTTGCAGAATAAAACGGATCAGTGTCAGGATGAAGGTGCTGACCCTGAAGGCCTCATTGAATCACATCTTTGGGTTTTGAGTGTGATCTCTGAAGAGTTGTGGAGAAGACGCTGCAGAGACATTTCTTTATGGAAACAAAGCCTAGAGGGGAGAAAGCTCCGTTTACTGTTTTTGATTTGTGTCGAATGACATCCCTGTGTTTGCGTCATGTTGGCGTCATGTTGGCATGTTTGTGTCATGTTTGTGTCATGTTTGCGTCATAATGTGTCATGTTTGTGTCATGTTTGCATCATGTTTACATCATGTTTGCGTCATGTTTGCGTCATGTTTGCATCATGTTGTCATGTTTGCATCATGTTGTCATGTTTGCATCATGTTGTCATGTTTGCATCATGTTGTCATGTTTGCATCATATTGTCATGTTTGCATCATGTTGCGTCATGTTTGCATCATGTTGGCATCATGTTTGCATCCAATCATGCTTGCGTCATGCTAGCGTCATGTTTGCGTCATGTTAACATCATGTTTGTTTCATGCTTGCATCATGTTTGTGTCATGCTTGCGTCATGTTCGCATCATGTTTGCGTCAAGCTCGCGTCATGTTTGCGTCATGCTTGCATCATATTCGCGTCATGTTCGCATCATGTTTGCGTCATGTTTGTGTCATGCTTGCGTCATGTTCGCATCATCTTTGCGTCATGGTTGCATCATTTTCGCGTCATGTTCGCATCATGTTTGTGTCACGCTTGCCTCATATTTGTGTCATGCTTGCGTCATGTTGTGAGCTAACAAACGGAGGAAGCAGAAGATGATTGTGTGTCGAGGTCGACTGGTGAAACTTCACGATGAGTTCTGTGATAATCCCACAGCATGAAGTCATTTTGCTTCTCTCTGACGTAATCTGATTCAGTCTGAGGTGGAGGGTGATCTCCTCAGAAGTGCTGCGTTATTTTTTTTTGTTAAAAAATAAGAGGAAACGGAGGAATTGGTAAAATTTTAAACAATACAACGTCAGCACATGTTTCTGTTGGTCCTGCCCCCTGAACGCTGTCGTGTTTATAACTTCAGACCTCGTTCAGGTTCCTGCTGCTCCTGTGATGTTTGGACCACCACCAGAGGACCAGTCTTTTCCAGAGTGGGCAACGTGCAATGTTTAAACTAAAGCCGTTCACTTTTTTATGTCATTTTGATAAAAACTGTGAAGCAACTTTAAGCAAATAAAAGCATCATTTTGAAATGTGTCTGTTTTTATTTTTAACTTGTAGAAATTTAAAGAACGTTTGAGCAGCTGGAAGCTAAGCTCCTTTCAGGTTTAAATGATTAATAATGTAATTGATCAAAATGTGAGAACTACACAAAAGAATTGTTGCAAATCATTGGTTGGTAATTTTTTATTAAAAGTTTTAATATTTAAAATAAATGAGAATAACCTGTGGTGTTCCACCCAACTTTTAGAGTATGAACTGTAAATCTGATGTAAATATTTTTATATTAACATATTGAGACTCCTCCTTGAATCGCCACCTTAACGTGGTTGAGGAGTTTGTGCGCCTGAATGATCCTAGGAGCTCTGCTGTCGGGGGCAATTATAATTGTCCCTGGTTGGGTCTCCCAAGGCAGATTGGTCCTAGGTGACAGGCCAGACAAACAGTGATTCAGAAGATTTTTATGGACATGATTCAGCAAGGAACTCTGTGTCCCTTGCCCGGACGTGGGTTACCGGGGCCCCACCCTGGAGCCAGGCCTGGGGGAGGGGCTTGTCGGCGAGCGCCTGGTGACCGGGTCTCTACCTATGAGGCCCGGTCGGGCTCAGCCCGAAGGAGCAGCATGGGTTTGCCTTCCTGTGGACCCACCACCTGCAAGGGCCATAAAAGTCAGGTGCATGATGCTATGGGCAGTGGCTGAAGGTGGGGACCTTGGTGCTCTGACCCTGGCTTACCAAAGCTGGATCTTGGGACATGGAATGTGACCTCTCTGGCAGGGAAGGAGCCTGAGCTTGTGCGCGAGGTTGAGAGGTACCGACTAGATATAGTTGGGCTCTCCTCGACACACAGCATGGGCTCTGGAACTGATCTCATTGAGAGGGGCTGGACCTTATTCCACTCTGGAGTTGTCCATGGTGAGAGGCGTCGAGCTGGTGTGGGTTGACTTGTAGTCCCCCCGACTTGGTGCCTGTGTGTTGGAGTTTTCCCCGGTAGATGAGAGGGTGTCTTCCCTTCGCCTTCGGGT